GTTTGGGTGTGATGTGCGTGTTGAAGGTGTGGTATTTTAAAGGTTTCTTTATTATATTCTTTCATATTAACACACAAATTGTGCTTCCACAACGCATCAATATTTGATTGTGAAGTTTGGGTGTGATGTGCGTGTTGAAGGTGTGATATTTTAAAGCACCTTCTTCTACATTAACACACAAATCATGCTTCCACAATGAGTAGATTTTTCATTAAAAACTTTGGGTGTGATGTGAACATTAAGAATACATTTTTGTATGCTGTTACTCAAATCTTGCAGTTTTAGACTAGAAGTAAGGCAAGCTAGCCAACGGTGGGATATTCTTTTACCAACGAATAATGGGATTGAGCGTCACATTATAACGCCCGCACTGCTGAAAAGGCGAGCATGTTCGGTGACGTGATTCGATCCCTTGATTCGAAGATTACAAGTCGAGTGCCCTAACTACCGGGGGAAAAATAATAATGTAATCTAATTGAGCAACATTTGTATATATATATATTCATATTATTATATTTCAATGTAAAATTTACATACGTTTTGAATTAATACATCTTTAGGATATATATATAAAATATTATAGTTATAGGGCAGTTACTCAAACATTGAAACGCTTGTAATAGCATACATGAATAGATGTAGGTTAGGGCGATTCCAATAGAATACAGTTTGCCATATTTCAATATGCTTAGTTTATAACAGATAATTATCATCTGACTTTCATGAGATAGTCACGTATATTCAACTACAATTGATAGCCATATGAATACATATACAAAAGTGTTTAGTTTTATTTGTTTCTTCGGTTTCATTTTCATGGGCTTAACGAAGATCGATATTGTGCCTTTACAGAATCAACAAGATTAGATATCCAAAAGATGAGGAAGAATGGAACGCTATATCGACCTGCTGTGCTCTTTCTTCTTTCGTATCCCAGGCAACGTGTATCACGTCCGTGTTTGAGCTCGGGGTGTGTCTTAGCCAATAAGAGCGCATGCGGCCTTCAACTCTTGTCCTGCCTCTTTATCGACCACACGCACACTGGCAAAGTTCCAGTGCCGTGCACCTGAAGAAAATACTCGGGTTCTCACGTTTCCTGTGCTCTAAGAAGTAACCAAGCTGTTTTTGTTTTTTCATTTCTGATTAAACACTGTTGCATATATATATTTTTTTTAATTTCAAATTTATTTTGCTTCTACACGTTGTTGAACAAAATGAATTGGTTATATCGTAGCGGGAGAAGAGTGTTAGTAACGATCGAGCGAAATCATCCACAGCTAAAGCAGTTGTGTTTAAAATTTATGTTATCACCAGCACTTTTGGTAGACAATATTTCATGATCTAGCTATCGACAAATGTTGTCCAGTAATCAGTTTCTCAGCCTCAAGTAATAGGTGGAGTTTTTGTGAAATGCATATTAAAAACCCTTTATAATTGCTCTGTATCTCAAGAATATTAATAATATTCAGTATCGTTTTGGTTAACGTATCATTTGGTCCGTGTTTTCGAAAGTCCGTAGCTTCAACGCAACACTTAAGCTTAGATTATTTCGCAACATAAATGTAACAATGTGTTTTGTGAATTAATAATTGTTTGTGCTCCGTTAGACAGGTGTAACATTTGCGAAAGAATCTTTCCTGTCCAAGAACGCTTTGTTTTACTATAAAATAATAATTATTTGTTTGTTTTAAGTTAAGCACAAAGCCACACAGTGGGCTATCTGTGCTCTTCTCCACCACGGGTATCGAAACCCAATTTCTAGCATTGTACGTCCGCTGACATACCGCTGTGCCACTGGGAGGCAATAATAATAATAACAAGCCTTATGGAACCAAGCATGCAGTGAACAGCGATAAATATTTATAGCAAAACCAGACGGAGCCCACAATGAGGAAATGAAGTATAGAAATACGAAACAACTTTAGAATTAATCAAAATGTTGTGATTAACTAATGTTCAAATATGTAATGTTGACCGCTGCAAACCTGTACTTTGAATTAGCATGTTAAATCACACGACATTTTAACCGAATGTAACCGTAAACAGTTCTAATATTCTTCGCTAGCACTAAGAGTTTTAGGGTGTTTTAACTTTATAAAAATACTGAAGGGATAATTATCACAAATAAAGGCTTAAGATTACTGAATTAATATTTGTCGGAAGGTTTAGTTTTCGAAATATCGTAGGGAAGAAACAACTGCATAATATTGGTCCAAAAGTACGGTATGCCATTTTTTTCCTTCCTCCCTCGTAGCTTAGTTCTAAGTCCGAAGATTTTGTAGTTTATGGCTCTAAAAATACTCGATACCTGTGGTGGTCATAGCACAGATAGCCCATTATGTAGCCATTGTAGTTGAGAACAAACATAAAACAACATTGATACTTGACGGAAAATACTTTTTTTTTTAATTGTTTGTCTTAGAGCAAAGCCATATTGGGCTATATGTTGTGTCCACCGCGGAGAATTGAACTTCGGATTCTAGCTCTGTTAGTCCGTAAACTTACCGCTGTCCGATCAGGAGACAGATTTTTTACTGGAATGATTTAAAACATGATTTTAGGCTGAAAATTAAAGTTAGCATACAAGACTATTGGGTATAAAATTGAAAGCAAACTTATTGTATTTAATTATAAGTTAGTATTGTGATGACTACTGTTTGTTTTTTTGTTTTTCGGAGGGGGCGGATTCCAACAAAGCTACAACTATTATAACAAATATGTGAGTTATTACGATGAATGTTGTATAACTATTAAAGTTTAAATTACAATTTAAGTGTTTTAATTTAGCTTTTTATTATAAAAAGTCAGAAATTTCAAGAAGCATTGTATTAATTTGGTATTATATGTTTATTAAACGTTTGCTTATGTGCTTAATCTTGAAGATCCAAAAGTGAGCGTAATATCTTTTGCTTACGTAAAATCTGTAGTAAAAGCAGAATTTCAGCTGGAAACGCTAATCATTATTAGCGGTATTGTAACCTGAAAGTTTCAACCTGTAATTAAGTTATCCGACGGTCAAATGTTTCCAGAGTTCAAAGATCACTTTAAGGTATCTGCGGATATTAAGTAACTAGTCTTTATTAACTTCCTCTTATGTTATTTATGCCGATTTTGCATCACGTACAAATTTCCTCTTATATTATTTATGTCGATTTTACATCACGTAGACATTTCCTCTTATGTTATTTATGTTGATTTTACATCACGTAGATATTTCCTCTTTTATTATTTATGTCGATTTTGCATCACGTAGCTATTTCCTCTTATGTTATTTATGTCGATTTTGCATCACGTAGAAATTTCCTCTTATATTATTTATGTCGATTTTGCATCACGTAGATATTTCCTCTTATATTATTTATGTCGATTTTACATCACGTAGATATTTCCTTTTATATTATTTATGTCGATTTTACATCACGTAGCTATTTCCTCTTACGTTATTTATGTTGATTTTGCATCACGTAGATATTTCCCCTTAAGTTATTTATGTCGATTTTGCATCACGTAGATATTTCCTCTTATATTATTTATGCCGATTTTGCATCACGTAGAAATACGTACAATTAAAAATAAAAGTGTAGAAAATCATATTTTGTTACATTTTAGCAATCCAAACGCAGGATGATGATTTGTTTATTGCACTAAGACTGCTAAGGCCAAGAACAAAGGCTCCCTGTGTGGCAGCGGTAAGTTTACGGACTTACAATGCCAAAATCCGGGATTCGCTTCTCCGTGGTGGAGACAACAGATAGCTCAGTATGGCTTTCCTCCAAAACAAACAAGATAAGGTCCTTTCTATTTGTCGGGTCATAGAAAATGTCTTGGAAGAAATTCATTATTTTTTCAAAGACTTTTTTAATTACTTTAAATAAACGGATAGAAACCCAGAGTTTTAAAGTTCTATAAAATAATTTAGATACAGATATTGAACCTTACGCGTGTTTTGTATGGTTGTTTATCACACATTAATTCATGACTTCCAACTTTATTCGAAATTTTAACATGTAAGGTTTGAATCACTGTATATATATATATATATATATATGTGTGTGTGTGTGTTAATGGCTAAAATACATTCTATTTAGAGATTAAAGTACTTTTTATACCTCGGTTAAATTCCTTTAATTTTTATCGAGAGGTTCTTATGTTGATCAATGAATTAAGAACAGTTCGTATTAATGACAGTAAATGATACACATTGTCTCAGGAACACAACAGCTCGTATTAATGACAGTAAATGATACACATTGTCTCAGGAACAGAACAGCTCGTATTAATGACAGTAAATGATACACATTGTCTCAGGAACAGAACAGCTCGTACTAATGACAGTAAATGATACACGTTGTCTCAGGAACAGAACAGCTCGTATTAATGACAGTAAATGATACACATTGTCTCAGGAACAGAACAGCTCGTACTAATGACAGTAAATGATACACATTGTCTCAGGAACACAACAGCTCGTATTAATGACAGTAAATGATACACATTGTCTCAGGAACAGAACAGCTCGTATTAATGACAGTAAATGA